GGAGTGGGGGATTTCTCGGGTATATTTGGAGATGGACATTGTCGAAAGTATGAGTTCTACCTTCTCCTTTGGATATCCAGTATGTTTAGCATGTAGAATTCCCCTTGTTTTCTGCAGTGTAGCCTATGTAGGTATGAAATGAATGCTTAAGGACCAAATATTGTTCATATGTGCATATTGAGCCTGTTTGTGGCAAGGCAGTGTGACGTAAACATGTAAGATACTTTCTGATGACTGAAAGTGCACACAATTTTATCCCATAATAGCTGCGTGCACCAGTGAAAGGGGAGTGAGGCACATAGTTATTCAGTGTTTACTACAGAGTAAGAGCATATATACTGCCAGCTACTAGAGAGCATCTGTCATACTGTACGGTCACTTTGTCCCACAGGGTGTTTGTTGTCCATGCTCACATCCTAAAACACTGAAAAGGAGAATGAGATAGGCAGTAAGGATAACCAGTCAAATAGTGAAATACCTGTTAAATCACAACCGCATGAACGAGTTTTAATCTTATTCCTAATGATAACTTCACCCAGCACCAGATGAAGCTGCTTCTGGGATAAAAAACCAGCATAATTACCAATATACAGACAGAACTGAAGAACACTATATTAACTTAAACCAATAAGGGGTGTAATTATAACCTAACTACACAAGAAGCTAACCAGCATACTAAACTAGACTATTCCTACTTTGCAGAATGTTCAGACAGAGCTTCACAAAAGTCAGTTATCACAGCACTGTCTCCTCAAAATGTGTTTAAAAGCTGACTGTATTCTTTCCTGGTTGTCATTGTGGCTTCATTGACTTGGAGGCAATGGAGCAGGAAGGGGGAACGTTCCTATGTAGTGGTATTTGTATTCGGAAACTAAAATATTATTTTAATTTGCTGCTTTTAAAGGTTGGAATCCTAATTCAGAAGTTTAAACAAACTAGCTGTTCTAAACTGTTTAAAAAATTCTGCTGACACTCGTATAAACTTGCAAAGGAGAAAATCATCAGTGTTTATAATGCTCATAGGTTCAAAATCAGTGTTGTATTACTTGCAGCTTTTGAAAATGTAAGTTAGTGCAAATCTAAAAGACTGAGATAAGTAGTTTGGTGGGGGGAGGTTTCATATAAACATTTAAGTAAATGGAAGTATGACATGCTGTGTTTAAGTTACAGTAGTCCTTATTTTCGGATACTGTCATAGGGCTTTGTTTTACAGGGTTTCTCAATGGTCATTACTACAATTCCCAGTGACTCAATCAAAAACTTAAATGACAAAGATCTAATTAGAGTCCAGTTCTTTCTTTTTTGTAATGGGGCATGTTTTTACTTTAGCGTTTTTACTTGTGTACGTTTGGTTTTAGTATCAGCTCTTGATGTTAACAAAAGGGGATTAAAGATAAATTATTGTGTCTGTCAAGACAAACTGAACCTTTCCCTCTGTTTTTCCTTGGTAAGGAAATGCATTAGAGTGCACCTTCTCTTGATCCATTGTAGTGTGCTTCAGTATGCTGCAGTCTAGGTGAAAACATGCCAACCAGGCTTATGGTTCTTTGTTGTCCACTCGAAATAACAAACAAAAGCTAACATTCACTTTCCTTCTCTCAACTGAAAACTATTATAAATAGCTACTTTCCTGACTTATCGTCTTGTTCTTACTATAGAACGTGTGTAGTTCGGGAGGGATATTTAACGCTTCCAGTATCATGTATGTCCTTTATTTCCTGCAGTTGAATGAAATTATAACAAACCCAACAGAAGGCCAGTTTTGGCAGGTGGATCATATCAAACCGGTTTACAGTGGAGGAGGACAGTGCTCCCTGGAAAACCTTCAAACTCTGTGCACAGTCTGCCACAAAGAGGTTGGTATCATCAGAAATCATCTCCTCCCATGGAAATGTGTAAAGGGCATCACACCAGTACCTGTGCACTCCTGTGCTTAGAATCACAGAAAATCCTAGGGCAGAAGGGACCTCTGGAGGACGGACCTGGTCCAACCCCCAGCTCAGAGCAAGTTGCTCAGGGTCATCCTGTGCAGGCAAGTGTCGAACATCTCCAAGTGTGGAGGCTCCGTAGGGTCTCTGGCCCCTGGTCGGCACCTGAGCACCCTCCTTCGTGTCCCATGGGAATGCCTCCACAAACATCTCTAGGAAGAACCTGGCTCTGACTTCTCTGTGCCTCCCTTTAGGTCCCTCCTCAGCTGCCTTGTCTCCAACTGAACAACCTCCCGCCTGTACAGCCACTGCTGTTTCCTGTTGTCCTCGGTACCCCCTCCCAGTGTGTGGTTTGCCATGTGCCATCGCTCAGGTGTTGTGGCTGGAAAGCTGTGCAGCAAAATGGGAAATCGATCACCTCAAAATAACTGCCTGTTGCTAGCTTCACTCCTCACTTTGATCTGTCAAGAGCTGGGAACACGTAGCTCATCACAGGTTTTCTCCAACAGCAGACACTAAAACTGTCTTATAGGTAGCTGAGGACTTGACATTATGATATAGCTCAGTTACTACTTCCTGTGTATTTTATGAGTAAGAGGCATTGTCTGACATTACAGATGAGGAGTGAAGCTACTGGTAGAAATTAGTTTAGTCAGAAATGCTTCATTCTTCATTCAGCTTTTTTTTCCTTGCTGTTGGAAGCTTCTTCATGCTGCCTTGTCAGTGAGGCTTGGCATCAGTTTTCTCCCTCTGGGAAAGCACCAGTAAGGATGGAAGTTACTTTTATGATACAACAGTTTAATCAGGCTTGGGAAAATGTCCCCTTAATAAACACATCTGCATTTTAGTAGATTGTCTGCTGCAAAATTTGATTGAAGAAGTTTAACCTGAGAGCTAATGCTTTCCCTGTAAAATGCTGTTGCCTAGTAACTTAATGTTTACTGAACAGCTGCATCTTTCTTTCTCTTTTGCAGAGAACTGCAAAACAAGCCAAAGAAAGAAGTCAGATGAAGAGACATTCTTTAGCTACAAAGTATGGCTGCGATATCACAAAATTTTTTGTGAAGATGATGTAAAATATATTCAGTTGCATCATAATTCAGTTTTCCTTATGCAATGATTAAAATTAATCTTTATAGTCTATCATGCTGCTAAGAAGAAGAAAAGTGGAATTAAAAGAAAAATCATTTATGCTATTTTCAGAGGACCTTGGATGATTGCATAGCACTTGATCATGGTAGTGTTTTTACGGTGCTGTGATTCAAGCGCTAAAGTCTGGGTATAACCTTAATGCAATTTCAATGTATTACTGTTTTCATAGTCTACTGTAGTTGCACCCATAAGAAGTGGAGGAAGGTCTGCTGAAACTCGTGCTGGTTTTATAGTGCTCAAGTATATTGGGGACATTATGGACAGAGGCTATTTTACTTTACTCATCCTTTCTTTTTTAGTTCAGCTATTAAAGTTACTGGAGGAAATACAGGCCCTGCTCTCTGTTATGATAAAACAGCATAATTGATTTGTCTCCTCCAAAACAACTGTATCATACCTGCAAAACAAATTAAGAGCAGTCTTGGGAATACTCTAATCAGCTATGAGAGGCCTATTGTTGGCATTGGACTTGACTTAACTTCAGAAAAACTTGGGCATTTAGAATTAATGTTTACTGAAATCAGCTTTCCTTTTAAAGCAGCTTGTGCTTAAAACATAATTCACAATACTTGGTAATATCCATTGTTCCTGAGCTCAAAGGTAACTTCTGTGAAAATGCTATAGTCACAGCCTAACGATCTTGTTCTGTTTAACGAGATTTCAGAGATGTTGGTTATTTTGGACTGTTTGTTTAAGTAAGTGCCTTTCTTTCAGGTTACTTTAAATAAATACTTTTTTTTCTAGTATCTTTTTTTAGTGGTTTATATAATGGATTAACATTTCAAAACTAGCAGGATTGAATTGGAGTGAGTAACGAATGACAGCAGCGTCTATAAGTAGTTTCATTTTCACTGAGAATGAAATATACTCAACTACCAACCTTTGCAAAGTCTCCTTTCCAAAACTGTTTCACATTGCTTCTGTTGCCAGCTGCAGCTCCTCTGAGGAGGAATGCCAGAGCCAGAAACGCCTCGTGGGAGAGGGTGAGAATTAACAAAGGGTTGGATGGCATCAGGTCAGCAGTAGGTTCATAAGTAAGTAAGTGATCAGTAGCGTACTGACAAAGGCATTGCTAAAAGTGCTACAGGAGTCTGCACTTTATTTCAAGTAGCTCTAACTCCAAAAAGCTTTTGGAGCTTATTTTGTTATCCTTATGAAGAAAATGTTTAAAACTCTTAAACCCTCCTTTTGTCAGCCTTTTGTACGGATTAACACAGGTAGCTTGTGAACACACCATGTTTACATATGGTGGAACTGGTGGACTCTCCTGAGCAAAAACCCAAATACTATGTTTGAATGTGTTGTAAACATGACTGACTGAATGAAGCATCCATTCAGCAGTTTAAAACACCAAGTGATGATAGCCTGATCACTAGATAAGGGAACTTTTAAAATTTATATAAGCTTTAGAAGAGGCTATTTTAATGCAAACTTTCATTAGGAGATTAGTAAAACATATCGGGAGGGGAAGAAAACAGTGGTACTAGTAATACATTGCAGTTAAAGAAAATATTCACGAGTTAGCTCAGTGCTGCTACTTTTTCAAAAGCTAGACAGTTAAACAACAGCTAAATTGGGCTTTGACCACATCCTCGCCCAAGCTAATAAAGGAATTGCCTCAGCTGAAACGCACAAAAAAAAAAAACACCTAGAAACCTAGAAAATAAATCTTATGATGAGATTCTGTGAAGAAAACTTAACCTGAAAAACGTATTTCTACTTGATACAATTTATCCGACAAACACATTCTACCCCCTGTCCTTTCAGGGTAATTCCTGGGCCCCTGCAGAGATGAAACTTAACCGTCTCTACTTAATATGGTCATAAGTCACAAGCAGTCTTATTCCTCGGTACAATTATGCAAGTATGACATTTAAAAGATATTATGAGACACCATCACCAGTAACTGAAGCCTGACAGTCAATCATAAGTTCAGATTTATTTATTTTTACTGTAGTTATTTTTACATTTCAATTTGCATTGTAACTCTGATCTTTTGCTGATTCTGACCAAAGCACACTAAGATCACTGTAAAGCAACATTGGCACATACAAGTCATACTGTTTGCATGATCGCCGGTAGGGTTAGTTCACAGCCTGTGATGGAATTGTTTTACCATATGCTAAACATATGTTTAACAAATCAAAGAAACAGTAAGCATTCAAAAGATCTCTATAAATATCAATAAGTTGCTTAAAGTAAAACACCTCTGTACACATAATTTACATACAGCTTTGGCCCTTGCATGCAGGGAAGGATATACAGTATCCAGACTTTAGTTAGTGATCCACTTAAGGCTATTTGCACATTAGGTTTAATATCCAGTTACAGCCCAAACTATACTTATGTCAGTGTTTGGGAGGAGTGCCCAAGAGATACAAGAGCTTTTTGGACAGCTGCTGCAATATCAGAAGTTTAGCCTAAACTACAATTTACTGTGTACTTTAAACGATCAAGACTTTAAAAATAGGCAGTTGCAACTTAGTGATTAGCCAAAAAAAGCTCAATATTCATGTGATAGCAATAAATACAAATTATTTAATATTTGCACATCAATATAAGTAGACTAACATCACTTTATAAAGTCTGATTAGGAACTAAAGCAGCATGTCTGCATAACTTTTAACATGAATATTTGCATAAAGCCTATTAGTGTCCATTATTAAAACAATCTAATCCAAAAAAAAATTTTTTTTCCCCTTTGAACAGAGGGGAATAGCGCTAAATTTTCTTCCCCAAAAATCTGATTAAAACTACTAGCTGTTCTAAACATCCAAGTTAAGGTTGGTGCAAGCATCCTTTTAAGATGCCAATTCAACTCTATCCTTGGAAATATTATTCTCAATCACTAATGACAAGTGTTTTCTCCTCACCACAAACCAGATCAGTCTATAAGTATTAACTAACTTCCCTGAAGGAAAACAAACAGTTTTCTACTTGTGAAGACACACAAGATAACATAGGTAGCTACATCAGAAGAATGTTGTATCTGCTGAAAAGGCACCTGCAAGTCGAAAATCTTCTTTTGTAAGCACACTGTACATGCGCTGTGGCAATGGTTTAGAGTAAGGTGCAGGGCGGGGGACAGTTGTGCGTAAAATGACCTCACGACCCGTGGGCGGCGGGAAATCTGAAACAGCTCCTGTATTGAGTCTTCGCTCGTCCGACGAACCTGATCTCCTCAATTCTTCGTCAACTGGAGTCACTGTAGAAGCCTTAAATAAAAGCAGAGATAGGATTACAGGATGAGCTGTTTCTTAACATCAGGATTCAGAAAATGCTTTGTAAGGACTGGGGGCAAGGGGAAAATTAGAAATGGTAAACACATCAAAACACCTTATATGTACACAGAGCAAGACACTAATGGGATGTCAAGAAATAAACTGCGCACAATCAAATGCAAGAGCCTTCAGCTGTAGACGGTAAGCTCAGCCAAATTAAAGCTTCATATTTTTGACAGTGTGAAGCAAGGGTTTTGACCAGACAGAATGCCCCTCTTCTCAAACAGGGCTCCCTTTTCTCTTTATGGCTACACAAAAGTCTTAAGTCAGCCTACTCTGAAAAATAATCAGTGCCACTACTACAGTCTTGACAAAAAGTCACCTGCTTTTTCAAACTCAACATAGTACTCCGAAATGTGCTCTTTCATGGCCAAAGAGGACAACTACTGAGAACAGCACTACATTTAAATGTACACAACTGAAAAATCAGTGCGGGGCAATGCCACCAACATGTGGCAGAACATGCAGGACAACTCATGCCTGCTCCGTGCTGCCCCCTGCACCTCTACCCCTGCCCCTCTCAAGGCTGGCGGGCACCCAGCTGTGGGGTGCTGTTGGGCTTTGATGCCTTTGTCATAGCATAAATCACCAGGCACAAGTTGTTGCCACAAGAACAGGCCGAGGAAACCAAGAGAGAGGATATTTCCTGTGCTGTTTCTTCACACAGTTACTCTAGTAGTTCTCCCTGTCAAAACCCCTCTGGATCTTTCTCCAAAAAGCTTAGTAACTTTAATTTAAAGTGTTGGTATCTCAATAATTTTGGTGGCCTCTGGATTGTGACCTCCCCCCTAAACATCTGGTTGTTCAGTACAAACAAAAAACAGTGGTTGCAACAGAGAGCAAAATAAAGGTAAGGCCACATATTCTAGCATCAGGCAATTTTAACATTCACTTGAAGAAATGTTCAGGTTTTTTTTTTTTTTAATATATATTTAAGATTTTTCTGTCTCTCTTCAGCACCTGTTAGGCTCTAAAAAAAAGTCTGTGAATGAGGAGAAACCAGTCCAGAAAAAAAAAAAAAATCATTTTTATGCCTAATATGCAGACAACAGAACAAACCCAATCAGGCAGTTGTACAATATCTACCAAAAGGTTCAACTCTATGCAGCTAGGGAAGATGAGTGGGAAATGAGGGACAAAGTTGGTTACCTCATCAGAAGATTCAGTCAGCTTGAAAAGGGATGAGAAAAGAAGGAATGAAAGATAGAAAAAAAGGCAAGTCAGAGATGACTTACAAGAGGTTAGACAGAGATTGTAGGTTTAAGAGACATCATGCACTCTACCTCCAAGGACATGCATTTGCTGTCATAATCTTCCATGAGAAACTTTTGAGAATATAACAATGCATTTTATACAACCTATACAGAGGAGTACAGGTTCAAAGGGTAGTGAACAAGGATGCCATTCAATTTCTGTTTGCCACACTTCTTTCTGCTAAAATAATTCTTGCTAAACTAAACACAAGGAGGGGTTTTGGAGCGAGTTAGCAAGAAGTCTCTCTTTAGTGACCAGCTACTAATGGAAGGTATCTATAACCTAGCTTTACTAATTGCTGTTCCAAAAGAAACAAAACCATAGAAGTTACATACATCTTTATCAAACATTAACATTAGAAACTTCTATTCAACTTTGAAAGCAGAAAACTGCATTATTAAAACAGCAAGTGCATATGCTTGACAGAGTATTACATGGTGTTAAGAGTTACAGAAAAGCCTGTAGTTAAAGCTGGTGGCTTAGATGTTGACATTTGTTGACATCTAGATTTTCCCTAGAAATTCAAGCTCTCCTAAAGATACAACAACTGTTCTAATTTTCTGTTTCTCGGAATAATCATGATCTGTTTTGTAGAATGGTCCTTTTTATGTTGAGCTGCAAAATATGGATCATTATAAAAGAATCCACACATTTAAAGTGTCTAATTCCCAATCACCGAATCTTTAAAGCAGTGATTCTAAACTGGATTTCAGGCTCTAAAATGTCTGCAAAACCATGCCACCTCCACCTCGTTATTACTTTAAATTTTCATTAAGACAATTTGATGCGATGAGCAGGTAAAATTCTGACAAAAACCGTCAGAGTTCACTACAGTCCAAGAAGTTTAGAAATTAATACTTTAAAGCTCATTATTACAAAAATATCACTGTTTAAGAGAAAAAGGAAGTATTTGTAACAGTATAGACTGGAGCAAAATTTCAAGAAAACAGATGCCACATTGGCAGCAAGTAAACTGAATGTAGAGTAGTACTGGAAAAAAAGCCTGAAACTCCTCTTAAGCACCCTACTTTCCACGGAAGAAATGTCAAGTATTCCAACCTCAGTCTAAGAAGTTACCCATCTATAATACCTAATATTAACATGTGTTCCTCCACGTTCCTGTGTGAAGGAATCCGCACAATCACTTGGTTCTTCTTGCTGTGTTGTTGCATATGTTCTGCAACTTGATGAAATCACAAGTGTTTGTGCTATAACAACCCTTCTGATGTTATCATTTGAAGTAAATCTAATATTAACGACACCTCTATCTACTCAGCTGCTGCCAACATTTCACGTCCCAGGTCTTCTATTCTTCTTTCTTCTTGCAAGGTTCTGTTATTGCCAAAATCATTTTGATCACTGCAAACGTGCTTGTGTTGTTTGTTTTAAAAAAAAAAAAAACATATTTGTATACAAAGTAAACTGGTATCATATGATAACATATGATAAGTAGTTACTTCATACTGTTTAAATTAGAAGCATTAGTAAAAACAATCAAGAACTTCAGCTTACCCTCTGGGCATTCACAAACAGCTTGTGAATGATGCTACCAGCAGGCCCTCTTCCTGCACCAACGACTGACACTTCTGGCTGCTCCAGGAGACAGTTTACAAATCTGGTGGCACAAGTTATTAAAAAGAAAGAATGAATGCTTAAGTTCTCAGCTATAGCCATTTTTCTAATCTAAAAAATGGGACTGTTTACTGTGAAGACTCCCAGAGATCTCCATATAGCATTCTTCATGCAGAATGCAGAACTGGCAGACACTCCATGTTCTCCATTCTAGAAGTTTGGGGGTGGGGGAGGGAAGATATTTCCCAGCATCCCACACAACCACTATCATTGCCTTTTCATTCCTTTATTCATTTCCCTCTAGCCTAAAGAGAAACCTCCCCAATAGCCTTCAGTTGCTCCTTCCTCCCTTGTTGCTTGCTCTTTCATGCCAATATAAGCAGCTGTTTTTTCCACAGCTAACATAGGTCAACACTAACAGAAAGAAAGTATCCTCCCAGATAAGGTCTGGAAAGGCAGATTATACAACTGCTTACGCTGCAACCCCAGCAGCGGGGCCAATGAACACCTAGGGTGCACATCAGCCTCTGAGAAGACCTACTTCTCTCAGTTAACCCTACCTGGAATCAAAGCTTCTAATTCAGGTGCCAAGTTCAACATGAAGCGTAAGCGGTCACAGAAGAAACAGCAAGACAAATTTTTTGAGCCCAAAAATATTGCATTGGTCAGACACCACTCCTCCAAATTCCAAACGTTAATGAGAAAAAAGGCCAGCTCTCCTTCTCAGCACAGCAACAAGAAGGTAATCTGTTTATTTGACACGTTACTATTACCCAGTTTAAGGTTACTATTACCCAGTTTAAGCAATAAGCAAACAGTCAGACAGCAGGTAGTGAAGCCATGAAACGTGGCTTGTCATTTTTCATTCACATGGTTCCTCAGGAAGAGATTTCAAATTAGTAAGGAGACTAGAACAGGAGAAAGTAATTCCTGTTGGCATTTCACTCCGTATTAGTTATGGAAAATATTAAATCCCTAATTTTAACTAGATAGTAACAAAGTTCAGCAAATGCACTTTTTACACACATAAAAAAAAGATATGAAACCTCCAGTAGCATCTAGATAAAAATGGACTGCATTAAAATAATCTGTATCACATGTACATTTTCAAAAAGATAGTTAGATGGGCACTTAGGGTATCCACATATCACATCTCTAGGGATAGGGTAGCCTAGTGTTCCTAGCTAATAAATATGATTCATTAGTATTTATTTTGCAATACAATTTGTAGACAAGACTTGTATATCATTACTTCCATCCTTCTTAAGTGCTGAGACTACCAAAAAGAATCAGAGGAAAAAAAAACAAGGAAGAATATTGTCACCTTTGTAAATCCTCTCTCTGCTCGTCATTTTCACATTTCTCCACCCCAAATTTTGCTTTCAGAGACCTGGCCCTAGCAATGATTGCTTCCACGCTCATAATCTGAGCAATGATTTCCTGTAGAAGTTTAATAAAAAAAAAGACATTTTTTAAGCACTTCCATGAACACTGTTCAAGTCTACCAAGTTTTTAGCCTTAGCTAGCATAAAAGTCTTACCTCCAATTTCTTGTCCTCTGGATTTGGGAATCGTAGAACTTTACTGGAATGGGATATTATCTGCTTAATAATCTTCTTAACTGAAGAGATATCATCTAGTGTTTCTATTAGGAGGAAAAGAAACAAAAGGGTTTTAATTATTGCATCAGTGTTCATCCTAAAACATCTTACTGATTTATTAAACGTTATTTACCTTCTTCCTTTACCTTGAGTACAGCTGCATGGATGATGCAAGGCAAAAGATGCCTTGCAAGGTCAGCTGGTTTCTGAACTACAAGATAGTGAAGCACCTGTAACATCAGAAAATTTAACACATTAATGCTCAAAACTGCTTCCCAAGGATAAGGTTAACGACGGAAGATGAGCACCTACATGGGAAAAGTGGCAAGAAGGGAACAACACTGCAAGACAGGACTCAACAGCTAGTTGTTACATGAAACACCAGCAATTGCTTACAGTCCCAACAGGTTAAGAAAGGAACTAAAAATAAGGGAGTTGTAGGAACGCTTAGTTTCATAACGCATGCACAGACAAAAATCTGGTTTACCTGCTAGTAATTCAAAAAACCACCTAAATAATACACCTTGTAAAGTTATGTTCTAAAATCTCATTACTTCAAATATTTCCAACACACTGTTGTATGACAGCAAGTAATTCTGATTAACACCGGACTATTTACAGAACAGCTTAATAACTCCAAGAATACAGTGCAATGACATGTTAACGTTTACATTTTGCAGAAGGAAGGGAAAAAAAGCTGCTGTAAGTTTTGTACAAGCATTACAGAACAGAGCTTCAGCAGCCAAAGAGCTTTTACCTTCTCTGCCTCTCTAGTGTCATCAAAGAGTCTCTTCTGCCTCCGGGCTGGGACAGGTTTTGCTGTCTCCCAGGCCTCTACCCACATGTTGCTAGGAATCTTCATTCGGGCGCTCAGCTCACCCTTAATTACTACATTCCCCTTTTCATCAACCACTTCCTCTTCAATATAATCTCGAGGGGAATACCACCTCACAAAGTCCTCCAGACAACAACCAGGATTAGCTGCCTGGAATGAAGAAAGAAAATTTGTATCTGAAAAAATCCTATAAAAATGTAGTAATCTGGGTAGCAAGGCAATGGGGTTTAGCGGGCAGAGCGCAGGCTAGAAGCCAGGAGCTCAGGGAACTCTGTTCACGGTCACCAAACCGTACATTAGGAAAGGAACCTGGGAGGCTGAGGAGAGAAAGTAAGTATAAACCAAAACCCGGGGCAGGGGCACACAATCAAGGAAAACAAAGAAACCTTCCTCTTAGTCCCAAAACCAAAACATTTATGAGTTATTTCAGGCAAGCTCAAAATTGTGCTGTTAAGTCAAAGGCTCTACATGACATCTAATGCATGCAATAGATATTTATTTGCACTAATTTTTTCTTTTTTTAAAAAAAGCTTATGCCATTCAAAACCTAGATAATAAACAGCCCAAGCATAAAAGCATCAAGAGCTGCATGAATATACTTCCAACCTTGACTTTCATATATAAATACTCCAGTAACAAAAGTCATCTTTTCTTCTTAACTTAAACAAACAAAACCCCTTCACAGATGCAGCGTCAATGCAAGTACGTGTGGCTGAAGGTCTAGAACATAAGGAAACCCAGCTAACTATGCAATGGACCGATCAAGAGTATACTTCCCTGCAAATTATGGGTTCTATACTTCTACTGCAAGCTTTCAGTTCTGCAGTGCAAGTGATTTAGAACTGCTACATCTAACTAATATGATCTGAATTACTGCCAATAAGTTCATATTGACATGTGCTATCAACATTCGTAATGTACAGTAGGTCTGTATCCTTGTCATACAAAGCAATACTGCAATAATCTCCTCCAATATATACAGTTACTTCGTGACAGAATCTCGAATCTTTTTAGAGTCTTGAGATCTGATGAAAACAGTATACGTGTTCTGACCTCCCTCTGTGGAGTTCAGCAGAGAAATGGAGCAGTTTACTCAAAACCACAGCTAGTCCAGATCAGTATCATGAAAAGCAAGTATCATTCTAAATATTGACACCTTATCCTTCCTACTAAGCAACAAAATGTCTTCATCTGTACATTAAAATTAATGTCTATCACCCCACCAAAATCTATAAGCATAATTGTGGAAACACTAGTGTTGTGTGTTTTTTTTTTTTTTTTTTCTTTCCACCACCTTTACACCTTATCCATTTGGAGTCCGATTAAAAGATGTATTTTTATGAGGCTAGACACAGTAGTTAGTGCAGGGAAGAGAGACACCAAACAAAAGCTTCAAGCTGGGGGTAGACATTCAATTTTGATTCAGAACTCTGATCATCAATTTTCTTCTGACATCATTTTGTATGGGCAAGTCTGAATATTAATTCTCAACGGAATATTGTCTTTTTGTTTTTTAAAGGAAGCTTGTACAATTAAGATGATGTGCAAATTTACTGGAATATTACAGTATAACAGATTGGATATTCACAGATTCTGAAATGCTACAAGAGTTTTTTCAACAGGTTTTTATTTTCAACTTCATTTTGAAACTGTTTTGAGGAAGAAAAAACAAAAAAAACTTCAGAAAAGCCTTCAAATTTGTTGAACGCAAACAAGAGAGGTAATTTAATTAAGAGAAAAGCAGCCTCAGAGAATTCTTCAAGCAGTATTACCTTAAAAGACTCCATATCTGAGAGCAAGCAGGCACTCTGCATGCGTGCCCGAAGGTGAGCGCCTTCTGCTGACGTCCCTAGTTTTGCCAGTACCTCAGACTGTTCTTCCAGCAAGTCTTCAGTCATGGGTGCGGGTTCCTGCAACATGGAAAGAGAAAAGCTTGTAAACAATCTCTCCTAGAATTAACGCTGATTAAGGAAGAAGCAGCTGAAAGCTCCCCGTCACCAACAACTTCATTTGTACTGAAAGGAAATAACTAAACTGTTCAGCCTGAAACTATGCATCTAAAAAGGACACTGACAAACAGAAATTAAGAAGGACGCAACCTGAGAATAAAGTAACTATATACAAATATATTGTTAAAACATCAAAAATGAGATGGAGCCCAGGAAGTGTTTGAATGATCGTTTTTTGATCAGGTGGATAAAAATCCACTAAATTAATGTAGAATTTTGCTATTGATATTGTTAGCACATAACTAATTGACGACATTGTGCCTGAACACGCTTTGCTCATACATTTTACCCATGCAAAGTAACATATGTTAAAAATAATTTCTTTCAAATGAACGAAAAACTACTGTATTTTCCGTGCATGCCTGATTTAAAACTACTTCCTTTGACATCATAGCTTCCTCTTTCATCCCTGGCCACTCTACGAGAAAGTACATCAGATAATACTGTTAGTCCAGTGATGATAAGCCTGCTTTAGATAATGGGACCCAAAACTGATTACTGCAGCTTTTTACTTAGATACACAAATTAAGAAAATTAAAAAAAAAAAAAACAATACATTTAAAGAAAACAAAACAAAGCATACCACATCAGAAAGGCCGAGTACTCTGGTCAGTTAGAAGCAAAAATCTGATTTGACTCTGATGAGCAAACACACTGAGCCTCAATGCATCATACGAGAAGAAAAGAAGTCCCAAAAATTCTCTGTGTCAAAGACATTAATATCTTAAAAGCGAGGCATCAAAAAGCATGGTCACAGGTTGGGGGGGGGGGAAATCAATTTTGGGGTGGATGAGCTAGATTACGGCGTTCAGTGCAACTCTGCAATCATAAAGTAGCACGTGTTCCTGTTACTAGGACAGGCAGAAACCACTGCTGAGAGCTGGAAGATGTTCAGATGGCATATCCTACTGCAGCACTGTACCTAACATTATCCACATACTATGATAAAACCAGTATTTTCTCATTACAGTTTGGGAAGTAAAGACACCCGTTACAGAAGAGCTCTGTATACGCATATTATGATCGCACATCAAGCGGTAGAGAGAAAACTCTTAAGAACGGTTGAAGATGCATGAAAAATACCTGCTTAGCTCCAGCTAAAGAAGTACTTTAGATTTTACCTTAGAAACTACTTCAATCACCAAGATCAATTCCACACCACCAAATTTTGCTAACTGTTTTTTTAATTCCAGAAGCACCCAATATATATGCGGACACGTGCATCCATACACACACACACGGAGATATATATGTGTGTGTGTATATGCATCCATACACACACACACACACACTGCTGTATGTACACCCATATGTATATATACAATTAAGAGAAAGGTATTGTCTTCCACGTGCATACAGAGCTCACTGTAATTAACAGTGTTCTTTTTCTGAAGCACACAGCCATGGACTGAATTTTCTGGGCAAACTATTTCCCCATAATGAACCCTGAACATATTTGAAAGTGAACATATTCGAGTTACAAAAATGAATACTTAAACAAATTCCCCCCCCCCTCCGAAAACACCTGCGCAAGCTACATTTAGCTTCTATATGTTTGTCCTGCAGTACAACTTTGGAAACTAAGAAACTTTTCCTTTCCTTAGTACCAGGACTTGATTTCCAGGTAGAAGGACCACAGCAGTTCCTGCTTTAAAGGAAAGAAAATAGGGAGGGGAGGGAAGATGCCTCAGGAGCTGAAAATAAAGGGAAATTGAATTTAATGTAGGCAAGACAACTCGATTCTCATCAAAACAACAAATAAAAGAGTTGTTTTGACTGAAACTTGGTAAGGGGACTCATCCTCAAATAAACAGACAGCATGTGAGATTTCCAGTTTATACAGCCTCATCAAATTTTAAAACAGGAAAACAAGGTCAGAACCTGAACAGACTTAGCAACTTTAAGAATAAATAAGGCTATAATCTACAAACTAAATACAATTTCACAGTCCCAAGAATGAGTCATATTACATGACAGTCCTGTTACACATCCTGTTCAGCTCCTGCTGTCTCACCTGTGTTATTGGAATGTACAGAGGCTCTCCCGGATGAAGCAACGTCAGCTTTCCGTGTGGATGTAGACGACCTTCTGGTTTTAAATTTACAGACTCTTTGTTGCCTTCTTTTGCTCCTCCTTTCTTTCCATTTTCCTGCCCATTTCCTTTCAGATCTTCTGTGTCACTCAGACATTCAAAAAATTCTTCTTCACTGTCACTCCACGATTCCCAAGACTTGCCAACTTCTTTTTCCTTATCTGTCTCCTTTGGATTTTCTCCAGAGTAGTCTGCCCCTTTTCCAGCATCACCAGAAGAACCACCAGGGGAACGATCAGAGGCGTTCCCCCTTTTCCCTTCATCCCTTGCTTTCTTTCTTTCAATACAACAATTTAACATCTACACAAGTTAAAGGGGGAAAAAAAAAATCTGTTTAGCAATTACTTAACTAATGGAAACAATGTCACCGAGAAACTTGAAGAGTCACCAAAAAAAAAAAAAAAAAACATCTTACAATTCTAAAAGACACTAATTCCACTGAACTTCTTGCTATAACAAAGATTTTCCCAAGAAATGAAGTCCAGACCCAATAATACAAACATAATTAAATCTACAGCGATAAAATATTTAGCTAATAATTGCTTTATTTTTGACCATTTCCTTTTGAGAACAGTCATTCTCAAAACGGAGATACTTACCTGAAGTTTTTGATGCAATAAACAACATCTCAGATCCGGAGGGCCATTAGCTAATCTAACAAAAGGTAGAAGCGTAAACACTTTAAGTTATATGGTCAAATCGTCTACACATTGTCTTAAATGATATCAAATCCAAAAAAGGGACAAATATCCAGATAGAACCACCCCCCCGCCCCGCATTTCAACTATGTAGCTGGTCTGTGGTCTCAGCAAACAGGAGGTAGTGACTGAACAAGCCCAGAAGTTACTCCCAAGATGTCAGTTCTGAAGATCAGGGGATTCACACTAGTACAAAGCAAATATACCTTGGTTTCCTGGTCAGTTTTTCCATTTGGGTGTTAAAAGGGTAACATTTCCAAGCAATAAATAAAGCATCTTTGACTTTACTTTTAAAATAGCAATGGTACAGCAGAATGATCTCTACATATTTCAAGTACCATTTTATTTATTAATGTGACCGTTTGAAAGAAGCTAATAAGTAAATGGCCAGTCCACCCCTTCAAAAGGGTACGATATTTTTGCTCTACATTGATGTTCTCTCCTGATAGAGCCCTTCATCTGGCCTGCAACAAGCTCTGCTGCAGCAGACTTGAAACTTGTAAGGGTTTGGATACGTGAGGGCAGCACTAGCTGCCTGAAAAGGCTACTGCAAGTGCCCAAAGGGAAGCCCCTGTAACACCAGCAGGAACTTGGAATTGCTCTCTTAAGAAAGAGTGGAAAAGCCATCACCACAAAGCAAAAGTGTTCTATCAGCTCCTTCATCTTCTTTTTAATGTCATGACAGAAGTCAAGCATCAGCATAAGCTTTTCAATGACGAAAGAACCAGAAACTCTTACCCTGGAATAAGGTAGTTGTTCTCCCATCTATAGCGCATTTCTAACACAAATTCTTGCCAAAGATGTGCCACTCCTTTTACTCCTCCATGGTAGAAGTTTATCATACAAAGACATAAAGCTAGTTTGTACGTCAGACTATCTGAAGGAGCAGATTTAAACTGACTGAAGAGATTCTACATAAGAAATAAAAGAAAGCAGAAAATTCAAGAAGAACTGCATGTTTAAAGTTTCTTTTCCAAAAGCATACGATCTGTATCCTGTTTGTCAATACAAGCAGCTAACATCTTCAGTCTCTAAAAGTAAACCAAAAAAGATGGTCTCTAGAAAAAAAGGGGAGGGGGAAAAATACAAAAAACAAAACCAACATTCATTTACTTTTTCAACCTGGAAGTTCCACAAACAGAAGTTTATCTTTCCAACAATTCTCTGTTACAAAACACAGGGAGACCACAGCAAAAGCTGTATGAACCAGCACTCAGTCTTC